GCGTGTGCACGGTTCGTGCAGGCCTCCGTGCTCTGTGTGGGGGGGCCTCGTGCCTCTGCCCCGGTGCTGAGGGCGCTCCTGCAGCGTGCTGTGAGCAGCGTGGGGACCGGGCCGGGGCTTCCGCCGCGGCTGCTGCCGCGTCCTTGTTCCTTTCTTCAGAGTTGGGGAGTTAGGAGCTGGAGGTTTCTGTTTGTACCAGCCGTGTTGAAACGTTGGTAGCTCTAGAGAAAAAACTGGTGGAGACTGCCTAAATGTACCGGCTGAGGAGTAAGGCAGGGGAGGAAGGCAGGGACCTTTTTAGAGCCAAGGGTCTGTCTCTTGGGTATTTGAGCTGTTCAGTGCTGCGCTATTTACTTCCCCGAAACGTCTAGAGTGGTGAAATATGACCAAGATGTAGTAAGATAGGAGAGTGAAAAGTTCTGTCCAGCTGCTGCTTGGTACACAAAGTGTAATGAAGCTGAAAGGCTGAATAATTATCATGTCTTTATTTCTAGGAATGTTTAGTAGCAGGACTCCAAGAGATGTGGAGAAAGTTAAGGAACAGTAGTAACTGTTGAAAGGTGTTATTCTGTAGCACCAAAATACCTGAGCAGATATAAAAAGAACTGCAGTGTGAGCACGTGATTAACTTAATGGAAAGTGCAAAATGAATGAAAGCTAGTAAATTCTGCAATATCGAAAATAAAAAAATAGTGTTAATTGTTGTACTTTTTAAAGCTCTTAATTTTTTTAATTTTTTTTTTCTGCTTAGTGTGCAAGATGGACTGGCTGCTGACTTCAGAGCATTAACAAAGACTCTCTATGATTTGAATAAAGCTCTGGGAAGTAATATAGTTCGTGGAGGTCCATTAAAAGAGCTGGTGATAGAAAATTTTGATGAAGAACAGATTTGGCAACAACTAGAGCTTCAGAACAATGCAGTTCTTGATTTCTTCAAGAAATCCATTGCAAGGGATGCCGAGGATGAAGATCTTTGCCTTCTCTCAGACCAGGAAGAAGTTGTCTCTGATGCAGAGACCAGCAGTGACAAGGAATTGGAAGACAACGTAATGGAAACAGAAACTGAACAGAAGAATGTTTATACAAAAGATAAAACTAAAGCTAAAGAAAAGCAAAGTAAACTCAGAGAAAGCATAATGCAGAAATACAGTGATGAGGATTCTGATATTGACTTTGATATTGAAGCACTGGAGCAAAAAACTAAAACAGCCAAGGAAACCACATTGAAAAAAATGGGAAGAAAATCTATAGTGGATGACAAGTTTTTCAAGCTGGCTGAGATGGAAGCTTTTTTAGAACATGCAGAGAAGGAAGATGAGAAGGAAGATGAGAAGGAAGAAGAAGATATTAATTACTTTGAAGACATCATCTCAGGTGATGAGGAAGAAGAGTGTGAAGAAGCTGAAGTCAAAGTAAGAATATCAGTAAATTAATTTTCTGATCTCTCTTGTCCTTTAAATCAAGATCAGGTATCCATTAGGGTGACTGTGAATTGTTGAACTACCAACTTAGGTTTGACTAGGTGACTAATGATTACTTCTGAAGCTTTACTGTAATAGTATATTTGACATTAGTATCTTGTAACAAAATATCCTAGTGTAGGAGATCGTACTGTCCTGCTATTCCAGTCTCTCTTTAGAAGGGGCTTGGGTGTTTGCATTAATAAAGGAAGAGATAGTATGTTGGGAGAAATAAGCGACCTTGCAGAATTGCAGATTAGGTGACCCAGCAAATGAAAAAAGATGTGTGACTCAGCATTGACATCTGACAGAGAGCACTAAGGTGACTGATACAGAACAATGGGCTGTTGGCAAGTTCTTTTACCAGGGACATGGCTTTGTAACTCTGATTTAACTTAAGTTGCTGAGTACTTGTTTCAAAAATAAATATTGTTTAATATTACCAGAGATTCTCACTAGAAAGTAAGAACTATGCCCAGGGTATAGGGGAACGTGTACGCATTCCAACAAGTAGTTGGCAAAATGTACTGCTCTTTGACTTCTGTATGTGTTGAAATTGAAAATTAATTTAAGTAGTAGAATATTTAAAATACTTCTAAAAGAGATTAGTTTTACTAAGATGTCCTACCACAGGTTAATGCTTCACTAAACTGAATTACTGTTACACAAGTAGTACTGTTCCCCAGGTGCTAAAGACTTTAAAAACCAGGATACCCTCAGACTTCTGTCGGTCTTAACAGTTTTGGTTTTTTTGTTTTGTTTTTTTATTTGTTCGTTTTTTCCCTTCCCCCATTCTTAGCCAATTAGAAGTTCTAGAGACTTGACGTACAAAGATTTCTTTGATCCGGTCGATGACAGTGATGATTTAGTAGCTAATGATGTTGAAGATGATCAGGAAGATGAAGCAGATGGTGCTATTGAAGACCAGAATGAAGAAAGCATGTCTGAGTAAGTGTATGCATTATTTGCACTTAAAATGCCCTTGTAATTTTACACTGAAGTGAAGCAGAAAATGAAATATGAATTCCAGACTCACTTTCATCATGGTTTGCCATTCGCTGTTATCTGTTGGATGTTCGTGGTTTGCATTGTCACCTTATTTTAAAAGTATTTTGTTTACTTATCTTCTGAGTATTGTCTGTTGATATTTATTTGAATAAATCATTTAATAAGTTATTTAACTGTGGGTTAGTTGTAACAGGTAACCATCTAATGGCTGAAATATTGTAATATAAAAAATTACAGATGATTTTCAACCTTTAAATTCTAATGTTACAGGGTTGAGGATATGAATGAAACGATGATGGAGATGAGAAGTCAAGAAGCCTCTAAAAAAGTTACTTTTAGTTTGCCAGATGACAGTGAAACAGAAGCTGTTACTGATATGCAATTAGAGAAGGCCATTGATCCCAGTGAAATAAAGTCTTCATTTGAGAAGAGACAGGAAAAGGTAATTGATGGTTTTATTTTGTCAGTACTTCGAAACAGTGGCCAAATGATGGGTTTATTTTAATTGTGTAATTTGTTCAGTCTGGCAAACATGAAAAGGCTGCTTACAAGTTAAAAAAAAAAGTGGCTTATGTACAACAGATATATGCAATCATATATTCCTTCATTGTCATGTGATGAGGAGTTGGAAGTACCTGAAATAAATATTATTTTATTGTCTTGAGTTTACTTGTGAGGTCTGTGTTTTAAACTTCTTAGAAAATTGTGTTTTTCAGATGAGCAAAAAAATAAAAAGTTTAGAAGAGGAGTTGTTAGAGGAGAAACCTTGGCAGCTTAAGGGAGAAGTGACTGGACATAAGCGACCTGAAAACAGCCTTTTGGAGGAAACAGTATTTTTTGACCATGCTGTCCGAATGGGTAAGTAGTGAGAGGAGGGCTTTCCTGAAAGTGTGCTGCATACCACGTTGGGTTTTCTTCTCTTTGACCTTGCTGAATAGACCTGTGACTCACGAGCAGGGTAACAAAACACTAAGTTAAACTACTTGGAGTGTTTTTGAGGTTGTGCATTTTCATGGTGGAGCATTTTCATGGTGGAAACTACAGAAAACAGTTTTTTTTGTTTTTTAAAAATTTTTAAGTTAACTGACAGTTCATTAATTCAGTGGCAGATTTAGTAATTTACAAGCCATCCATAATATGATTAATCTCTTCAAGATAGAGTAAAACATTTTTTACTTACTTTGCCTTCAGTTGATAGATATTTGTGAAGGCTTTACTTTTTCTGCTGTTTATTCTTCATAGAGCAAAAAGTATTTCTTGCTGGGGAAACACTAATCTTAAAATTCATCTCTTCTCTCAGCACCTGTGATCACGGAAGAAACTACTTTTCAGCTTGAAGATATCATTAAACAGAGAATATTGGATGAGGTTAGTATTATCTTACTTGTTTCTCCCTGTTTTGTTCATAGACTTGATTTACAGGGCACATTACAAGGATGAGTTTGAAGCTCTTAAAATGTTAGGTGTAGAGTGATTTTAATTTCTGCAACTGGTGGTTCTAATCTTTTGCCTTGATGAATGTGTCTTTAGATTTCTAAGGAGCTCTGTTTTTACATGCCTGCTATATGCTAGGTGGTTTGGGCTTAAAAAAAAATGAGTGTTTGCAGATAAACCTATAAGGAATTTATTTGGAATATAACTCCAGTCTGTAAATTTTGTCTATTAGCATAACTGTAGCACTCTGAGCATTATGAATACTAACCAAAACTCAGTTGTTAACTTCATTTTTTCTTAAAAGCCACTGATAGAAGGTTTGTATCCCACAGCTTATTAAGGCTTGTTGTTTGTTGAATAAAAAAAATTGGTACATAGGGAGGGAGAGTATTTAAGTACTTAAGAAAATTACACATTTGTTTTTTATTATACAATATTATACAATTTTATTATACAATTTTCCACTGTTCCACTAAAAATAAGCACACAAGCTAGAGCTCTAAGTCTTCTTCTTTTTTCAAATGAAAGTGTGAAACATAATGAGTTCCTGGGACTCATAAACTGTTTGCATAAACTAGTTAATGTGTCAGATGAGTAGTATGAAAAATATTCTTAATAAGCTGTAACATGTGATTTTTGACTGTAGTTGGATTTGGTCACCAATTTATGACTTTCTCAGGCATGGGATGATGTAGTACCGAAAGAAAAACCCAAAGAGGAGGCTTTTGAATACAAGAAACGTATCACTTTGGATCATGAAAAGAGTAAACTGAGTCTTGCTGAGATCTATGAGCAAGAATACATGAAACTTCACCAGGTAACGTAAGCAGTGTCTTTCCTTTTGGCTTGAAGTTGACACCACATAATCTTACACATTCATTTGTCCACTGCTAACGCTGTTTTCAGCTTTGTGGAAGTAATTTGATCTTTCTTTGAGTGTTCACCAGTGAAATGTCTCTGAATTGCATGTTGTGTTGTTATCAGTCTTGCTAAAGTAAAATAGCTTTATGAATGGTGTTGCAATAACCTTGTGTTATTAATGCAGCAAAAGACTGAAGACGAAGAAAATCCTGAACACAAAGAAATTCAGGAAATGATGGATTCACTCTTCCTGAAGCTGGATGCACTTTGTAATTTCCACTTCACACCCAAACCAGTAAGTACATAAGTTTCATGAAGTTGGGTTTTTCCCCCTCCTCTCTGAAACTGGATACTTTAAAATATATTTGGGAAATTGAAAGTAAACATTGAGTGTTGCTGAGCTTGTTTTTATTTCATATTAAGTGCCTTATAATTGCCTCTAAACAGTTGCCTCTAAACAAACCCAAATAGTTGTAAGCTACTGTGAAATAGTGTGCTCAGTCCTGAATATGTTTCCTTATTTCTAGCCCGTGCCAGAAGTTAAAATAGTTTCGAACCTTCCAGCTGTAAGTATGGAAGAAGTAGCACCTGTTGCTGTTAGTGATGCTGCTCTCTTAGCACCAGAGGAGATCAAGGTAATTATAAATAAAAATCACATAAGGATCTGGAGAGGATCTGTATTGTCGATAGAAGGATTTATGGGCTGCCAGATCAGTGGGAGTATTCTGCCTCCTTCCACCCTGAGTTCCTCACCTTGTGAAACTTCTTGACAAACATTTTAGTGTTGGTTGTTGGGAGTTTCCAGGGGGGGAATGGGATACTTTTTAGTAATGGGAAAGAGGGGAAAGACTTAATTTTATTTGGCTACACTAGGCCATAATACTATGCTTCATTTTTGTTCTTGACTATTATGTGATGGTAATAACTTTCCCAACATATATATATGGGTATTTGGAAGGGGAAAGCTAAATGACGATAAGGCTGAGCAATTAGCATGTCTTTGATCAATTCTACACACCTCCCTTTCCACCTTTCACCAGTTTTTGTCCTTTGCCTTAATGCAGCATCTCCCTGAGCTGGCTAAACACTTGAAATAATGGAAATGCTAGGACAGATTTGAGTAGTGTGAAGTGAGTCTTTTATTTTGCATGCTTATGGATCTAGAGATCTTTTTCTCTTTAGGAAAAGAACAAAGCTGGTGATGTAAAAACAGATGCAGAAAAGACTCCCACGGACAAAAAACGAGAACGAAGAAAGAAAAAGCTTCGTAAACGTATGAAGCTAAGAGAAAAGGAGAAACGTCAAAAGCTGCTTGAAAAGATGAAACCAGAACAAGGCACAAAACTTAGCAAAAAAGCTGCTGCAGCAAAATTAAGAAAGCTTACAAAAGAAGGCAAAGCATCTCTGCTCAAGGTAAGGCTCTCTTAAGTAGTCCTGTGTAACTTGGAGCTTCCCAGCTAAAGAACATGAAAAGTATAGGGTGTGTTTCAGTTCCATCCCTCTTGGCACAACTACATCTAGTCTTTCTCCCATCCCCTCAGGAATTATTGTACACAGGTAGTAGGTTATCTACCTACCACCCAAATTTGTTCCCTTATTATCTCAGAGCAAATAGAAAAGATAAATGTAGTTGCTGGAAAGAAAAAGGTAGGAAGAAGACGAGAAAAGGGCAGATGTGTATTTCCCCTCTCCCCCCATATTCTTCTGAAGCACAGTTTTGGAAGGACTGTGCTAATCCATACTTGTAACTGTCTTACGGAAAGTAGTGTTGAACACCTTTTTAGTCCTGGTTTTGCTGACTGTCCCGACAGTGTGATGTCAGTATAGAGGTCTGAAAAAATACAGCTCTGGTTGCACTTTGCAGTGACCCCTTTGTTTATAATGCATATTTATGTAGATGTTCCACTTTAATTATGAATAAATCATATCTAAATAGTTGCTGGAACCTTTAGAAGCTCACTGAGAGTATGAAATATTTGCGTTTTTAAGTGGCTTGATCTTTAGGTATGGAAAAATATGAAAAAACTGTATGATAGAATTACCTTACACCAAAGTATAGTCACAAAGCAGAAAAGATTGTTTGCATTAGGTATTACTTTTTTGTTTAAAGTTCCCAAGGTGGTGGTCCTGCCAATACTAATTAGGACTTATTTCCTGCATTTGAACTGTTCCACTTGATTAAGTGGGACTTGCATGCATAATTGAAGATGAGGTTTCTATTTAGTTCTGTCTCAGCTTTGGGTAACTTAAGCTATTTTAAAATAGAATATTCCTGTTTAACTTTCTGCTTTTTATTGTGGAGCCTTCTATATAATCTCATCCAATTGATTTTGGACTTGTGTACCACCTATGATGCCTTATAAATTAAATTTTTTAAGTCTCTGAAATTTTCTGGTTTCTAAACTAATAGGAAAAATAACTTCTAAAGCAGATGTGCTTACCTTTTCAAGAGGAGAGTAGAACACAAAGTATAGATATGTAGTTGTAGCTCCTGATCTGCAGGGACCTATTATTGATGCCTGTTCTTACCTACCATGCTAATTGCTAATTAGAAATGGAATGTACTCTTTTATTTCTTTAGATAGCGGGAGTGGTAGAAGAACACAGTGAAAAATATCCTTTGAAAATCAATTATCAGGGTTTTTTTTTTAGTAAAATATATATGAGTAAGTAGTTAGTAGCATGACGATACTGTTTGTACATTTCTTGGTTAAAACAAATATTTTGACCATTGACAGGATGAAGGTAAAGACAAGGTCGTGAAGTCATCCCAGGCTTTCTTTTCTCAACTACAAGATCAAGTAAAAGTGCAAATCAAAGATGGAAACAAAATAAAGAAGAAACAGAAGCAGCAGAAAACAGTCTCTGTTCATAAACTGAAATTGTAATTTACTGGTTTATACGTGTTGCATCTTGTATATATTAAAATGTTTCTACATGAATGCTGAATTGGAGTAGGCTTTATTCTGTGTCAGTCTTTAAAATGTTCTGTGAACTTCTAAGGTGATGTAAAGACATTTTCCTTTAGGTTTTACTTTTGTTTTCTACTATAGAACTCTGATTTTGTCTTTTGATGCCAGGGGCAGATACATAACCATGTAGAATACTTGATTTGTGCTTTCACTGCACAGTCTCTTAATCCGTAGTCCGTAGCTTTTGTACCTGCTGCTGTAATGGCTCTGTATCTATTGCAGGAATAACTGCATGTAGTGAAGAATTCAGGATGTATCCTGGCATGTAAACTGAAAATTATCTTTTGAAATTGTGATTATTAAAGAGGGAGGACACAGAAGCTTTTAAACCCTGCAGTAACTCAGAGTAAGCAAAGCGTAGGTATCTTCCGTACTTGCTCTGGGCTTGGTGAACAAAAAAAAGAAAGTTACAGCTGGTGCCCCTCTCGTTCCCCTTTCTAAATCCCAGAATCATTAAGGTTGGAAAAGACCTCACGGATCATCATGTCCAACGGTCAACCCACACCACCTCACCCACTAACCCATGTGCCGAAGCACCACATCGACACGTTCCTTGACGTCACCAGGGATGGTGACTCCACCACTTCCCTGGGCAGCCTGTTCCAATGCCTCATCACACCTTCAGTGAAGAATTTTCTAATATCCAGCCTAAACCTCCCCTGGTGCAACTTGAGGCCATTTCCTCTTGTCCCATCCCTTGTTCCTTTAGAGCAGAGCCCAGCACCCCCCTCACTGCACCCTCCATTCAGGCAGCTGTAGAGAGTGATGAGGTCTCCTCTCAGCCTCCTCTTCTCCAGACTGACCCCCCCCAGCTCCCTCGGCCGCTCCTCGTCAGCCCTGTGCTCCAGACCCTTCACCAGCCTCGTTGTAAAAAAAGATCCCAACTGTTTTTCACCCTTTGCTGTTAAAGGAAGTTCTGAATTCCAAGAGGACAAGATGTTTAAAAGCTGCAGCTCTTGGTTCGTAGGTTTTTAGCCGGGTGCGGTTCCCAGGCTCGGCCATCTGCTCCCCAGGCCTGCGAGCCCCCATCGGCGATGCATTGCTCCGGCCTGGCG